GCTGTCGCCTGGCAGACTGAGAGGGCGGAGCTGGTAACAAATACTCACACAGGCTCACAACATTGTGACATCATAATGTACCAGACAACATCATAGTGTACCACTTAGCCAATAGCGAAGGCAGATTTAAATTCAAATGAAGTGCAGAGTTTTTACCTGACAATTCAATTCAAAAATACTTTTATTAATCCCAGAGGGAAATTGATGATTGCTGTAGTAGCTCAGAATAATAATGATAATCAAGGTCATCAAAGAGTTATTGTATATCACAATGGCTGTTGGCAGGAAGGATTCTCCAGTAGCGGGTCAGTGGTTGCAGCGAAACTGAAGAAGCCTCTTACTGAAGACACTCTTCCGTTGTCGGACAGTCTTGTGAAGAGAATGCTCAGGGTTGTCCATAACTTTCTTGATTCTCTGGAGAATCCTTCTTTGCATTATCTCCTCCGGTGGTTCCACAGTCCGTCCCCAGAACAGAAAACCAGCCTTTTTTATTAGGCTGTTGAGCCTTTTCAGGTCCCTGCTTCTGATGCTACTACCCCAACAGACGATGGCTGAAGAGATTACACTCTCAACAACAGGACTTGTAGAAGATCTGCAGCATCTTGCTACAGACATTGAAGGACCTAAGCGTCCTCAAGAAGTGCAGACGACGGCACACACACTGACAGTTTTAGGCAGAATATTTAAATTTTAAATTTTTACTAAGATGCACTAATGTGCCAAATTATTGATTACACGTCTACAGCACAATTAGACATTCATTCATATAGTTTTATCAGCAAAAAAATGTTGTTTTGGGGGTGACTTGCTCTTTAAGTGACTTAAAGAGCAAGTCACCCCCTACCAGAGTGTTACTCCACTCCCACTTCCTGTTTGAAAAATGCAACAAATGCTGCTGCCTAGCAGACCAAGAGGGTGGAGCCACGAACAAATACACACCACACACACACACACACACACACACACACACACACCACACACACACACACACACACACACACCACACACACCACACACACACAGAGGCTCACAACAAACATTGTGACATCATATGGTACGTTTCTAGACAGAAAATCAAAAGTTTAACTAAAATGCACTTAAGTGCAAAAACTATTGACTGCACATGTCTGCAGCACGATTGGACCACACATTTAAATAGTTTATCAGAAAAATAAGTTGATTTGGGGTGGACTTGCACTTTAAAGCTGTTACTGCAAATTTGGGAAACAAGTTAGCATAAAAAAAATTGTTTTTTATGCCTCTCAACAATGTTCTAACATAGTATAGCTACTAAAAATATTGTAGAGATAAAAATATATATTTAAAGTGGTTATCTCGCATTTGGTCCTAAAGCCCGCATTTGTCTAAAGCCCAGATCACACTGTGGTTTTTGCCAAATCCCTTGTCCTGAGCAGAATCGTGACAAAAAACGGTCATCGTCTGGGTGATTTGCATATTTGTGCACCATGCTGTGAACGTACAGTGTGACCATCTCTGCGGCAGCTTTTTGAGTCATCTCACGACCAAATGAGCCTGACGCCAAGCGAGGGTTTTAAAACGAAGCTTCCTCTTTGAGGAAAAAACGTGTTGTAACTTTTTTCAGCTTTGTTTTGGTTAGCGGTCTGCATAGTGACGTATGCTTTGGGAGGTGCGCTCATGACGCAGCGTGTCCTGCTGGAGAGAGACATTGTGCAGTCTGCCTCACCAAGATCTTGCGCCATACAGTGTGACATCTTTCCGGGGTTCTCACACTGTGACATGAAAAATCCAATGCAATAGCCAAAAATTGCACAGTGTGATCCGGGCATAAAAGCAACCATTGGTTGTCGGTTTTGCCGAACCGCAGCACTTCCCTGGGTCCTCCACTCATAACTTATTTAGCAACAGAGTACCACTAGTGTGTGTGAGAGATTCTCTGCTCAATAATATCAGAGAAGGAAAAACAGCTGGCTTCTATCACCTCTGCTTTATGGCAACCTACCAGAATTCTATAAAGAAAAACACCATTTGAAGTCACAGACGTTTGGACCTAGTAAATGGTTACTGGTGTTTAGCACAATCTTGTTTCCTATGGCAATGTGGGGTTTTCGGTGGAGGCGGATGCAGGGAAGATACCTGAGGCGAGGGATGAGTGTTCCGTGAACGTGTTTACATTCAAAACCTAGCTTGTTTGCAGCTTTAAGCCAGTTTCACACTGAATGTGGAATGGATGCGGTCCAGACTCTGTACAGCTTCCGCATTAAAATAGATTTTTTTTGCACAGCTCTTCACCCCTTTATGTACGCACTATGCAGGGACCCAGAAAGGTGTCAACTGCTCTTTTCTAATCACTAAAAATGATCGTCTCCTGCTGTCTTCACAAGAGATAAAACCTATTTACATCAGCACATGGAAGCAACAGTATTCCTCTCATGTTTCATCTACCCCTTCACTCATCTCAAGTTCCTGTTCCATTTTTTATTTCTGCTACAGGACCCGTCCAGGAAGAGCTGCAGATAAGATTCTAGGCAAAAACAGAAGTTTATTGCCATTTATTTTAAAGAGCAAGTCACCCCTTACCAGAGTCTTAAGCCTGATTCATGCTTCTCCGTCTGAGTCAGTGCGGAGACACGCAACGTCCTTGCGGGCCTGCCGGAGAGCTCCGCAAGGACGGACGGAGTCGAGCTCTCTTTTCTAAACATCCGTCAGTCAAGACGGACAATGCAAGCTTGTGATTGGTCAGGACGCCGCTGTCGTCTACACCGCTGGCATTGCGCCCTCAAAAACATAAAGAGAGGCGAGAATAACTAGCGGCAGACACGGAAAAGCTTGAAGAATACCTCGTGAAAAAACTCTAAAAACATGAACGTTTAATTTCCCCGTGACTGGAGGAGTGAAAAGATGCGCAGCAAGCGTTTTATTTGTGGACGGAAATTACAGGAAATGTGGGTTTAGAGGTGGCGAGCGCATGAAGAGGTGGAGGAGGATGAGAGACAAATTTGTCTGTGTTAAAAAGTATCTTATAAACAACAAACACAATATAAACACACTATCTTGGACCAGATACATGACAGGATACCACAGAACAGCGCTACACCCTCTGTTGTCCTGCTGGGAAATTGCTTTGCAACACTCTCCAGGAGACGGAGAAGTATGAGAGCAAAACGCTTCCGTCAATCCGTGCGTGTCTGTCTCTTGCGGAGCTGACGGAGAAGCATGAATCAGGCTTAACTCCACTCCCACTTCTTGTTTGAAAAATGCACCAAATACTGTTGCCTGCTGGACTAAGAGGGCGGAGCCTCTTACACACACACACACACACACACACACACACACACACACACACACGCAGGCCGTTTCTTAATACACAAGGACGCTAGTACGTTCTTGTAGGGCTGGACAGTAGGGCCTAAAATCAATATCACGATATACTGAGGATTTCCCCTCAATAAACGGATAACTACAGGTATGCGCAGAAACAAAAGTTGTCCACTAGATGGGTCTGTCACATGTATTACGTTGAGTCACATTTTTATATGACTCAAGGTGGTACAGGGACATGAACGTTGCCAACCTACACACATATTTTCATTTTTTTTGTTGTCAAATTTATTGACATAGGAATAATTATCTTGATAAGAGTCAGAAATTTCAATAACGATATATTTTTGATATCTTGCCCAGGCCTACGTTCTCAATCAATCAAAGCTTTATTTATAAAGCGCCTTCCGCAACCCTGTCAGGAAGCCCAAGGCGCAGTTCTTGTGTACTAGACAAGGATGTTCTTGGCAAGTACACCAGAAAGTTTGTTCTGCAAGTACGGGAGGACAAGGACAGCATTTGTAACAGAACCGTACTCCGCTGCATCATGGCAACAAGCGCTGCTTGTTTCTAGCCACAGTTAAACGACCTGACATAAAAATAAAAGTTTAGGTTGTTCCTTAAATAACAAAATAACAATAAAACGTACTTTTTGTATTATTTTTGGTCCACTTTTGATTAAAACTGATAATATACCAACATTTTCTGCTGGTAAATGAATAAAAACATTATTTTTTCCACAGAACAGAGCTACTCTGCTTTTATTTTGAAAGGTGGGTCATTGTGCGCAGAGCGCTTCCCTTCCGTGCTTCTGTGTGTGTGTGTGTGTGTGTGTGTGGGGGGGGGGGGGGGGGGGGGGGGTGTCTCATAGGCGTGGTGCTGGAATTTCAGTCGTGGTGCAGCGCCGCGCCTGAGCCTATGTAGGGAAAACACTGGCAATGGCAGATTTAATTTCAAATGCAGTGCAGAATTTTTACTGGAAAAGGGCACAAAATTTACAGTTTTAGGCAGAATATTTAAATTTTAAAGAGCAAGTCACACCCAAATCAACTTTTTTTTGCTGATAAACTATATAAACAAGTGCCTAATTGTGCTGTAGACACATGTAATCAACAATTTGGCACTTCAGTGCATCTTAGTTAAAATATAAATATTCTGCCTAAAACTGTCAGTGTTGTGCCGTTGTCAGGTAAAAACTCTGCACTGTATTTGAATTTAAATCTGCCACCGCTATTTGCTAAGAGGTATGCTATGATGTTAACTGGTACATTATGATGTCACAATGCAGTTGTGAGCCTGTGTGTGTGTATTTGTTAGCGGCTTCGCTCTCTCGGTCTGCCAGGCAACAGCTTTCGTTGCATTTTTCAAACATGAAGTGGGAGTGAAGTAAGTTTCTTGTAGGAGGTGACTTGCTCTTTAACTAAGATGCATTAAAGTGCCAAATTATTGACTACTTGTGTTTACAGCACGGTTAGACTCATTTATATAGTTTATCAACAACAAAAAGCTGATTTGGGGGTGACTTGCTCTTTAAAGAAAGCCAAAACGAAACATGCAATCGTAAAATGTTTGGTAACATGAAATAGAGAGAAAGAAAAAGTGTGTCAAGCACCGAAACATGCTCTGTAGCAGCTGAAACAACAAACCAGGAAACAGGAAATGGGAGTACATTAACAAGAGATGGAGAAAATAAGAAACAAACAAAAACAGTGTGGTGTGTAACTCAAATCAAAATAAACACATGAAAAACAAAGAAAAATATTACAAATGAAAACCAAACCAAATAAGGAAAACACAAAAGCACAGCAAAACCCAGATTTCATGATGGGACCAACTGCTTTACCCATAAAGCCTGTCAGGCAAATGTATTGAGAGGTTGTATTTCATTCTTACAAATTTGTCCAATTAATAAACAAATTGTTTTATATTTTGTTTCAGAAGATCCAAATCTTTCGGTGCAGCCCTCAAACAGCCCAGGTGTGTTTCTGCTCCTATGAACAACTTTTCTGTCATTTCATTTATATGTGGATGAAAAACTGATCTAGCCTTTTATTTTTATGTCTGTAACTTCAACATGCATGCATGTTTTAATAACTAGTTAGTCTTCTGAAACTTTTTTCAAGAGTAAAATAAAGAAAGTGGGCAAACAAAGTATTACTCCTAATGAAAAAATATCTACATTGGATTTGAAATAATGTCTTTAAAAATGGGGGAAAATTATGAGACATCTGAACCAGGACTTGACAAACACTACATCCTCTAATTGGATGTTAAGTCTTCAGATTCTTAGGAATATATATGTATATGTGTGTGTGTGTGTGTTATATTATATATATATATATATATAATATAACAACATATATAACATACATATAAGACATCAGACGCCTCAGTCTGTTAAGTTTTCTGATTCTGATCTACAGAACATGCTAATCTATCAGTTTAGATGTAAATGAAGAATGAAGAATGTTTCAATCCCTCCAGAAAACTGCATGACAGCCTTACATTTCATCACTGGTGTGTATGTTCAGCAAGAAAATGAAATTCAAGCTGCCGTGAAGTAAATGAAATTGATTCATGCCAAATGGAAAACCCCCCATTATAACTGTGGTAAAGTAGCAACCTTATGTTAATTGTTGCAACATTGCAGCTAAATCTGGGGAAAAAACACCCAAACTCCAAAGAAAAATCTGAAGAATGACTCAAGATGACTTAAGAGAAATGTAGTTCTTTGGAAGGGAATTATGAATGACTTAAGGTCTTTGTTCTGTAAATTTTACTTCTGTGTGGTCTGTTTATAGAAATTGGACTTCCAGATAATCAGGGACTACTTCCTGCTATAATTGTTTTGGATTTTATCGTTGTGTTTCTGTGTTGCATACAGATTTACTCATCACCTCATGCTATTTTCGTGTGGAGAAAGACTTCTCCACACACACACTCACGGCCGGACTTTCCCGCGTGTCTTTTGCCCACATGCTCAGAGATTTCCCCATTCATGAGAAGTGTATGAACAAACTCTACCCGTGCAGGATGCGGACCGACACCACCCAGCCCGGTCCAGGCCCAGATGTGAAACTGCCATTAGTGACGCAGAGCCGACACATCAGTGCTGCAGTCTGCTTCCAGCACGTTTCCTGCATGTTTTAGATCATCATCAGAGCTGATTTGTTTTATTTAGTGAGGAATCACACCTGTAGACTCTAATAAAGGCTGAGGAGACATTTTATCAGTTAGATTAAGGTGTTAAAAAGACGAATGCCCAGTGAGGAGATAGGTTTCACTTTTGCTTTTACTAACGAACACTAGGGGGTGCTAAAAGCAAGCCAAAATTGCAAAAGCATAAATAGACTACACCAGAATGTAGGAGAACACACCCAAGTTTCCAGAGACAAGTTCTATTTTTGACTTAATTCCTTTTAAAAATTGGGAGTGATGGGTCTTTTCAACTTGTTATATCTTCTATAAAAACAGCAGGAAAATATAACCGTTCCATTTTGTTGTTTATTTTTAAAACATCTTCTAGTTTTCACACAGCAGCTGTTCATCTGAGGCTTACTGATAAGTTTGTGTTCCTGTTCCTAAGTTTGCTTTCAGGGAGTTTGAGATGCAGGTTACCATGGAGACGTTATGAGCAGCTGACAGCAGCAAAAACCTTTCCTTACATTTTTGTTCTCTTCAGAACTTTGATAGTTTATACATCTGAATGTAGCTTAGATGAAGATGATGGAACTGCAGTGGACATGTCAAAATTAAAGTTAATCCTATTCAAAAAGTAATTTTCTCCTTTTTGCACATTAATCATGATGATCTGAGTTTACACAACAGCAGAGTGTTTGTGCCAGTAACGGAGAGTTCTCAGTCTGTGACCTCAGCTGTTTCACTGATGGATGAGCTTCAGCATGCAGCTATTCCATTTAAAATAAAGTGTCACACACTCAGACTCTTCTCTTTAATTTATGGCTAAGATGGGAAGAAGTTGCTTTGTCATCAGATTTTATACAGTTTGCTTTTTCTTAGCTCATTGTTAAAAAGTTTTGGACCTGGGAAAACCTAAACACCTGAACGTTATCTTTCGTTATTGGTCATGTTTTTCTTGGTTCAGTCATCTTTTCAAATAAGAAGTCTCGGTTTCTCACACTTAACATCTCAAACTGTTTTGTTTATTATGACACCGATTCACAAACTGTCTTCATTTTTCTTTCAGCAAAACCCCAAATCCCAACGGAATCACCAAACGCCACAGGTAAGCATCTGCTTATATATTTGTGAACTAATGTATAATCAGACTGAAGTAGAAAAAAGTTAAGTCTAAATCTTAATGAGATTTGAGTTAGCTTAAATATTTAGCTAACACACAAATTCAGACTATCATTAAAAGGAAGTAGCCTACCAAAACAAAAGCATCATGTAAAGATCTCCAAAACACCCCAGAGTCCTTCTGATGTTCAGATCATGGTTTAGTTTCCCTGCATTAATAAATGATCCACGGTTGAATGGACTCACACAGTCAGAGAGATCTCTTCACCATGCTTTTTTTATTTTATTTTATTTTTTACATTTTACCTTGAAATCTTAAACTAAATGTTTAGTTGAATCTGCCATGTTTATAACTACATTTAACTGTATGTACTTTGATGCAGTTCAAAAGTTTTTGATTTAAACTTACATATTTGGATTAAATCAGAGTTTTTTCACCATAAAACTTGATCAAATATTCTCTTACTTTAAATTTGGCCTCCCAGAAAAAAGAATTGTTTTAAAATTAAGATTTCAGTTGCATAAAAAAATACAAATGATGGAGGTACAAAGACTTGTAGATTGGTTGTTTTAATCTCTGATTGATGGTGTTTGACTTTGCAGAGAGTCACAGTGTTATTCATCATGACACCACCTTTACCACCACAGTCAGTGAGTTCTACGTCTGCATGAGTGTCAGACACTAACCTTTATAACACTCTTGCATGCCTTAATTATATTAATAACCTGAAAATACTAATATAGAAAGAACAGAGTGGGACCAGTTTGGTCCAGTCGGCTGTAGATTAACTCTAAATTATTTGGAATTGACCTTTAACTCTTCACAGATTGATGAGCAGCAATTTCCTCATTAAGGTCATTACTTGTTCTTTATGATGTGTTGACACACCTGTATGCTCCAGACCAGCAAACTCCTGTCTCTGTCCAGGTATTTCCCCTGATGATGATGATGTATATTTGATAACTACGGAAACGATGGACTTTATAATAAACTTACAACATCAAAAGTTAAATGGTGCAGTTTGCTGCTCTGTATGCAAATAAGGATTGAAACATGTTGCGGTATGTTTCAGCCCCTCCAGAAATCACACATGCTGGCTGGGGTTTGTTCAGCAATAAAACGTCTAAACTTCCAGCCAGAGGGAAAGAGTCAGTTAAAGAGCATTTATCACCAACTGGTAAAAAAAAAAAAAAAATTAACATCATCTTTAATTGCTGCAAAATTACAGCTGTTTTTGTTTGTGCTGCACAGATAAAGCTGCTAACAGAATGTGTAATGTTTGTTTGTGGGCCAAACTAACACACGTGCTTTACCTTTCCTTCATAATGCAGCATGTTAAGTCTAGATCAAAATAATTGTTGTTCGCTTTGAAAAGCCTCTTCTCTATCAAATATTATATGATATAATTTGGGGTTCTCCAGATCCAAATACAATTTAGTTGTGCAGTAAAACAAATGAACTAGTAACAGAGGTTTTAGGAAAGCACTTACGTTGTCTCTAAATAGTAGAAATAAACAATTTTTTATTTTATTGTTATTTTCAGGAACTTCCACTAGCTTTTCATCCTACGAGGGAGAAACCTCCGAGTCGTCTCTGGGAGGCAGGAACGGCATGGCACTGACCTCACAGGGTAAGAACACGAGTTTCTGATCAGTTTATACGAAACGTTTGCATTTTACATGAGCTCTATAATTAGTTTTCAGCCGTTGTTGAGTTCAGTGAAGTCCCGAAGTCTAATAACTTTATTAGGCTTTATCAGTATTAGAAATGTATTTCATTTAAAAAGTGAATCTATCCAACCAGGAGAAGTTTTTTATTAATGTGACAAATGTTTGCACAAATGTCAAATGTTATTAGCAATGATTTAATATTTGCCACATGACCTGGCCTAATATGAAAATTGATGTAAAACTGCTGATCATTCATCTTGGAGCCTGTGACTTGGTCTATGGTCTTTACTGGAGGAAAAAAAGACTAACTTGAAATTGGTGGTGACGTCATATATGCGACGTGCCGATGTCTGATTTGTAGTCATGCTAATTACGAACATTTACAAGCTGATAAATCTCAAAGTACATGGCTGGTGTGGTCGAAACACACATCATTAGTTTTTATTTAAATTGAAGTACAACATATGTGTGATCCAGGGCGTAAGGCAGATTAGAAAATAGCGTTTTAGCCCCGCGGACTTGCATTACTTGCAGGACCATCCCCAATAAACCCTCTCCTTGGGCTCTCCATATATTTATCTTTATACAGACAACACTTTAGTCACTTTATTCACTTAGTGTTTTTTGCATATTTTACTGTTTTATCCATCTTCTTGCTGCTTTATTACTTTCTTATTGCCTATTTATTCAATGTTTGTATGTCCAACATCATGCTGCTCTGCTGTTATTTTTTTTTAATTTCCCCTCGGGGATAAATAAAGTTTTTCTGATTCTGATCAACTTTTTCGTTCTTCTGGGGACCCGTGAGCCAACCGGAAGGGGAGGAGGCTGCCTATACTGCCTGACTCAAATGATGTTGCTTTTAACAACTCTTTATATACAAATGTGGTATTTATATAATGAATACATGATAGAGATGCAGTTATTTTATCTGTGCAGGAATAGTACAAAACATCTCACAATGCTGTATATTTGAGAACTCTACGCTTTCACCAGGAAATAACCAGACCTCGCATGAAAAAGCCATCTCAGGTAATGTGTGTGTGTGTGTGTGTGTGCGCGCACGTGCTCTGTCTTCTCGATCCCCAGTGAGTCGTGGTGGATGGCTGCTTATACTGAGCCAGGATCCTCTGGAGGTTTCTTCCTGTTAAAAGGGAGTTTTCCTCTCCACTATCGCTAAATGCTTGCTTAGTATGAGGATTGCTGTAAAGTCAATGACACTAGTCAGTGACTTGATGCAACCTGCTGGGTTCCTTATATAGGAAACATTTTTCTGATTGGCTTAATGTATTGGAATGTTTATTATGTGAAGTGCCTTGAGACAACTCTTGTTGTGATTTGGCGCTTTATAAATAAACTTGAATTGAACTGAATATCTAAAACAAATATCATTAAAACATAAAGTCTGTCCACTTATTCATAAAGTTCTGTATCACATATTTGTTTCGGGGCAAATTATTTAAAAAATTATAAAAGACTAAATAACTGGAAGTTTACATTTTTGATTGGAGGATATTTTCTTTTTAACAACAGTGGGGCAAAAGGTGGGGATCAGCTTTGTGGTGGTCTTCATGATCTGTGGGATAGTCGTCATCGGTATCTTCCTACTATATCGAAGGTAGGGTAGTTTTCAGACACTGTGTCATCCAAGAGAAATCTGAACGTTTTAAATTATTTACAGAAAAAAATAATTCTTTCATATTTTATTTTATAGGAAAAACATGACCCCAGCATCGACTAGGCATGAATTGGAACCAATGAACAACCCAGCTTAACTTTAGTACTGGTATCCAGAGATGTGGAGCAGCAACAGTGTTACTGGAGGAATTGTCCTAATGCAGAAGAGTAGAATGCTACCAATGTGATGAGTTTATAAACTAATGCTTTGAAGCTTCAAATTTAACACTTGTCATTGCAATATTTATTTTTATTTTACTGTATAACTATGTTTCTGAGCGCGAATCAAAGTTATTTGAACGAGAACACCAGGGACCTCATTTATAAAAGTTTGTGCAGAATTCTCACTAAAACTACATAAACCCAGCCCAGAAAATTATCTTATGCAAAGAAATATGCAGACCTATAAAACACTACTCATGCACAGCTGCACATTTCCACTTTATAAATCACACAGATCCTAGACATGTGCTTGGGTGTCCTACACACCCATGTTCTGCTATAAATGGTTGTGCAGCACCAGGCTAAAGACCAAAGGTGACAGATCATTTGCTGCTGTGACCCCCAGACTCTGGAACTCTCTCCCTCTGAGCCTGAGATCAGTGGACTCAGTGGTCTCCTTTTAAAAGCAGCTGCAAACTCACCTGTTCAGGCTGGTTCTTGTGTGACCTTCATCACCCTCTCCTTGTTCTGCTCTCCCTACCTATTCCACCTTCCTCAGGATCCACTGATTTCCATCTTTCCTATTCACTCTCTCTCTCTTTCTTTACATTTTAAATCACAATAGTCAATTTTTTGCTCATTTTAAATATATTTTTAATCATTTTCTAATTCCCGGCCTGGGATCTTTCTGCATGGAGTTTGCATGTTCTCCCTGTGCATGCGTGGGTTCTCTCCGGGTACTCCGACTTCCTCCCGCAGTCCAAAAACATGACTGTTAGGTTGATTGGTCTGTCTAAATTATCCTTAAGTGTGTGTGTGTGTGTGCATGGTTGTTTGTCCTGTGTGTCTCTGTGTTGCCTTGCGTTGGACTGGCTCTCTGTCCAGGGTGTACCCCGCCTACTTGCCCGTTGACTGCTGGAAATAGGCACCAGCCCCCCCCCCCCCCCCCCCCACGCGACCCCGCATGGACAAAGCGGGTTCAGAAGATGGATGGATATTTTTACATTTTTTGTTTTTGTGAAGTGCCTCGTGATTTTTATCTTGAGAAGCACTATAGAAAAGATCTTAACTTCTTCTTCTTCTATAAATGCTCAATGCAAAGTACATTATGAGTTTTCTGCACATACATAAGCTGACTAGAATTTCACTGGTAGCCAAGAGGACTAAAATACTTAAAATCCCATTAGTCATCATCACACACTAGTGAAATTACATCTCTGCATTTGACCCATCCTCATGGGGAGCAGTGAGCTGCAGCAGTGGCTGCACTCTGGAACTATTTGGTGGTTTAACAACCCCCCCCCCCCTCCCCAATCCAACCCCTTAAAGCTGAGTGTCAAGTGGGCATTAGGTCCCGTGTTTAAATTTGAACCCCGATCTCCCTGTCCCAGGGTGGATACTCCTACGACAAGACCACTGAAAAGGTACTCAGATTGAACTTGAGGTGCTTGAAGGTGAAGTAGGGGCTTGGAAAACCTTTTTATTGCCTTTGAGAGGCACAACGTTGTTGCAGCGGTGAATACTGTGAATGTGAATCTGGAGACAGAGGCAAGGAGGAAGATGGCGATAGTCATTTAAATCGTGTCATCCAGAACAGCAGTATTATAGTCCTCGGGGTGACTAACATGTTCCAGATTTAAGGGCTATTTTTATTTATCCAAAGGGGCTTTTAGCAGGCAGTGCTATATTTTGCTTATTGCATCAAACCAAGGCTAATACCTGCTGGAATGAGCCGCTAGCAGGAAAGCTGAGACTAGTCAAAATATTTAGCTTACAAACTAAATATTTAGTTTGTAAACTAAATAATAAACTTGTGTCAGTCCATAGACTCTCATTTAATTTTTTTGACAATAGGGGACCCACAGAGTAGAGTAGATGGGCGTGCCTTAGGCTTTTCATACACACCTCATCACATTTAATGCACCAATAAGTGTAACTGCTATATCATTTGAAGACTATGTATGAATGCAGTGTTATATAACTTATGCAATGTATTTTCATTGGTTCTCATTGTTATTCTCAGTTTAAAGATGGGAGTGGAGGCTGTGCGTGCGTGTGTGTGTGTGTGTGTGTGTGTGTGTGTGTGTGTGTGTGTGTGTGTGTGTGTGTGTGTGTGTGTGTGTGTGTGTGTGATTGAGTGTGTTAATGCATGCATGTGTGTGTGTGTGTATGCTTAAATGAACTATTTCTTGATCTTTTCTGCACGTGCTGCAAACAGGATAGCCGTCTTCTATAAACTCCCTCGGCATTCTTCAAATATCTAAAAGATGCCCGTACTTCCGACTTTGTCTTCTTTGAGGGATAATAAATGTCCTCCTGAGCGCTGCCGTCTCCTCCTTTGGCCATTATTTCAGCTTTAGCTTCAAGAAAGTTTTGGTTGTAAACAACAAAGCACGCATGTGCCGCCGGCAGCTTCAGCAGATGATACGGTGGCTGGTAAGGGTCACCGCGCCTACACCGCAGCCACAGTAAACCCACCGAGATAATATAGTTTTTTAAAAAACAAGATGGTTATTATTTTTGTCAACCTTTTTTTTTTTACCGGGGTTTACCGCTACACTGGTTACCGTGACAACCCTACCTGATCGGTCTGCTTTGATCTATTTTGAATACTCCGATCAAAACCGATAGGGGCGCTATCGGCCGATTACGATCAAATGCCGATCCATCGGCGCATCCCTATACATTGTTCCAGCAAGTGTTTTGCTATAAATCACAAAATTTGATTTGCACAACTTTCAGATCCTATTTTGTGCGTAAATAAACTTTATAAATGAGGCCCCTAGCTTTTAATAATCCATGGGGGTACAGGAACTATATTTAGAGTACTTTGAACACATTCTACTAAATTTAAGTTAGACATTAAAATCAGGAAATATTAACTGAGTGAACAAAGGAGCTGAACTACCTGTTGATGATATAGAAATAAGATAATGAGTGATTTATTTTTATTTTTTTATCAAAAGGAAAAAAATATTGTGATGTTCTGCAGATGCTACTGCACATTGTGTTGTTTGCACATAGAAATGCATTCCAGTCCATTACACTAAAATGTGAAGTTTTAATTAGCCAACATTTTGGTAAATGTTTTTTTTACAATATATTTGTAAATTCTGGTTATTGAACTTGATAAATCTGATATTGTTCAATCTGATCGATCTAAATATGGATTGCTTATGTTGAAATATTGGTTTGCTTCATGTCTCAGAATCCTTGATTTATTTTCCAACCCTTGTTGAAGGAAAACACTCCCAGACAATGATGACACCACCACCATGTTTAACTAATGGAAATTGTGACAGTTTTTTTATCCTGAAGTCCCTTGTCCGGCAACTAATTCAGTCTAAAGTCAGCCCCTACAGATCATCTGGGTGGTGACATCAAGGAAGTATGTAGATGGCTTCCAACTCTGATATTTATAGCTGGAAGTAGTCCATCCATCCATTTTCAGACACTTATCCGGAGTCAGGTCGTGGGGGCAGCAACCTAAGCTAAGAGGCTCAGACATCCCTCCCCCCAGCTACTTGGGCCAGCTCCTCTTGGGGAATACCAAAGTGTTCCCTGGCCAGCCATGAGATAGATTCTCCAGCGTGACGTGGGTCTTCCCTTGGGTTTCCTCCCAGTTGGATATACCTGGAAAACCTCACCAGGGAGGTGTCCAGGAGGCTTCCTAATCAGATCCCCGAGTCTCTCTCTCTATGCTGGGCTTGGTCAGTCTTCAGACTGCGCCGATTTCAGATTGCACAGAACAGCGCCGCCAGGTTTTGAGACTGGTGCCAGGAAATGGGATCACATCAGTCCTGTGCTGGCCTCCCTGCACTGGCTTCCTATCTTTTATCGGGCGCGTTTTAAACTCCTGGTTTTTGTCTTTAATTTCTTTCAGGGAGATGCCCCTCCTTACTTAGCGGCGCTCGTGAAGAGATATTTGTCTTCACGCTCTCTGAACTCTTCTGATCAGGTCCTCATTGTCGTCCCTCACACTAATTGTCAAACTCTTGGGGACCGGGCTTTCTCGGTTCTAGCCCTATTAGTGAAACCAGCTGCCACCTGCAATTAGGCTGTCTACCTCTTTGTCGGTTTTCAAGAGTCGACTGAAAACTCATTTATTTCCTTTAGCGTTTACAGAACATGTTTGAAGTCAGCTTGCTTTTATGTTATTTTTAATTCTTGTTTTTAATTGCTGTTTTATTTCTTGTCAGTTTGCTTTTATTCATTGTTTTAGTCCTCTGTCTTATACTCTACACTTTATTTTCAGTGTTTTAACTTCTCTTTTCATGATTGTATGTCTTTCTATGATGTGTTCTAGCGCCTTGGGCGCAGGTGCTATATATAAATAAAGTTTTGATTGATTGATTGATTCATTGATTGATTGATTGATTGATTCACCTTAAATGGCTCCTCTCGATGTGGAGGAGCAGCGAGTCTACTCTGAGCCTCTACTGGATGACTGAGCTTCCCACCCTATCTCTAAGAGAGAGACCAGCCACCCTGTGGAAAACTCATTTCGGCTGCTTGTATCCACGATCTCCTTCTTTCAATCACTACCCAGAGCTCATGACCAGGTGAAGGTAGGAACATAGATCAACCAGTAAATCGAGAGCTTTACCTTCTGGCTCAGCTTTCTCTTCACCAAGACAGATCGGTACAACGCCCGCATCACTGCAGACGCAGCACCAATTCGCCTGTCGATCTCATGCTCCATTTTTCCCTCTGTGATATTTTATTTGAAATAATCGACAAATTTATTTAAAAAAAAGCAGGACAGCATTAGCTCAGGAGGTAGAGCGGGTTGTCCATTAATCCGAAGGTTGCTGGTTTGATCCCAGCTCCAACCAGAGAATCCTGCTGTTGTGATGCGCTTTGGGGGGTTGTGGAACTCTGCTGTACAATTACAGGCCATTTACCAAAACTTGGACATTGACGATAAACGTATACTGGAAGAAGGATTAACTGAAATGGAAATTGAATCAAAAATGCATTAAAACTACTGAAAAAGGAAACCTCACCAGGGATAGATGGTTAAACAATTGAATTCCTAAAACATTTTTGGGCAGATATGAAAAAGCTACAATATGATGCGATTTTGGAATATTAAAAAGTTTGCTTGTCCTCCACTATGTAAACAGCATTAATAACCTTATTAACAAAACCAAACAAAGATCCACTAAATGTCATGGTCATGCCCTAATGTCTGTGTGTTTTCCTGTCTCCCTGCAGCAGCAGCAATCTAAGCTGATTAATTCCACCTGTGCTGCTCCCTATTTAAGCACCTGGCTCCTGCCACTCAGTGCGACATCATCTGCTGTCTTGTCACAGTCGGTTGAGCATTTAAACCTGTCTGCCCGCCTATTGCCCATCCCCTGCATGCCTGACCACAGAACCTGCCTATCGCCTAAGTCCCTGTCTGGACCAGAGTAATCATCTTTATCGGCAGCCCTCACCACATAACGCTGCTGCTGTTTTCAGGAGTCCACGCTGCCTAGAACCGAATCCAGGGGGTCCACATCGCTGTGTCAAGTCTTTAAATAAACATTTTAAACTTTCTCTGTTGTGTGGCTGTTGTTGGATCCGGCTCTGACCGTGATACTTAAGCCAGATAAGTGGAGACCAATAACCGTATTAATGATTATAAACTACTGACTTCAGTGTAATTTAAAGCATAATTATGAATCTTATCAAAAAGTAAAGAGAAGATAAATTCATAATCACATTTAATTGATTTTAGATATGATTGATTACCAATTGTTCATACAACCAGATAGTCTTGTGTTGTTCAGACTTTTTTAAAGCTTTTGACACTATGGAACATGGTTTAATGTTTACAGTGCTGAAAACTCAGATTTGGAGAAGGGTTCTGTAAGATCATAAAAATGTTTTATGATATCCATAGTTACATCTTGCTCAACCCTGGAATGACACCAAAAATGTAGATTTCACGTGGTAATA